CTCACTCCCATCTCACCTAGAAAACTCTCCCTCAGGTCTCAAATTAGACTAGGGGAAGAGACATTTATTGGTCCCTGTGAAAAAGCAGTTACCCACAGTGGTTTGCTGGTGCCACTCCTGCTCCCCCACCACCCAGCACTCTCCCCTCTACAGTGACTGCCCACCCCCACCTGCCGGACAGCAGGGTCCATGGGATCAGGAACTGCACGTGTCAGGGACTATGTGTGGCACTGTATGGCAAATCCCCAAGATTGGGAAGCACCACTTTACATAGTCCTCAGTAAGTACTGAATCCAGGTATTTTATTATTTTATTTTTTTGAGAGAGAGTCTCGTTCTGTTGCCCAAGCTGAAGGGCAGTGGTGCAATCATGGCTCATGGCAGCCTTGACGTCCTGGCTTCAGTGATCCTCTCACCTGAGCCCACCCCCTCACCCCCACGTAGCTGGGACTAGAGGAAGATGCCACCATCCCCAGCTCATTTTTTTTCTTTTTTTTTTTGAGATGGAGTTTCACCCTTGTTGCCCAGGCTGGAGTGCAATGGCTCGATCTCTGCTCACTGCAACCTCTGCCTCCCGAGTTCAAGCGATTCTCCTACCTCAGCCTCCCGAGTAGTTGGGATTACAGGCGCCCGCCACCACGCCCAAATACAAAAAGCTAATTTTGTATTTTTGGTAGAGACAGGGTTTCTCCATGTTGGTCAGGCTGGTCTCGAACTCCTGACCCCAGGTGATCTGCCCACTGCAGCCTCCCAAAGTGCTGGGATTACAGGTGTGAGCCACTGCACCTGGCCTTCAGCTAATTTTTAAATTTTTTGTAGATACGAGGTATCCCTATGTGGCCCAGGCTGGTCTCAAAACTCCTGGGCCCAAGCAATCTTCCTGCCTTAGCCTCCCAAAGTGTTCAGGATTACAGGCGTGAGCCACTGGCCCCTGAGAATTCAGGTATTAGAAAGGACTCAGAGTAGCCTGGGGAAGACTTTCAGTAGGAAGAGAGGTTGGGGCTGCGTCTTTGATTACTATGTACTACAGGTTCTCTCAGTAGTGCTCCTCCAACAAGTAGAAGGATGGGAAGGCAACAGCAGCAGCCAAGGTTTCAGTTGGTAAGGGGGCTTGTGGAGGCCAGGGCATCTGTGGGGAAGCTACGAAATTAAGCCAATTCCTAAGTCAGGCACTCAGGGTCCGCCACACAGGAACTGGTGGCTTTTCATGGGTAATGAAGTTGTTTAATGGCTAGCAAGTAGTTTTTAACTCTTCATTATGGAAATTCTCCAACATACACAAACAGAATAGTCTTAGAAGCCCTTATGAACCCATCACTTGCCCTGAACAATGATCAGCATTTAATTAAGTGGCTTTCATCATTTTTCCAGGCCTGGCCTACATCTGTGTGCTCCAGGAGTGCAGCCCAGTCCAATGAAACATTTAAAAACATTTGAATCCTAATTATGTTATGTTGGGATGTCAGTGGTTCCAAAGGCAGGTGTTTATGGGATCAAGAACACAACGCGACCATTCTGATCTTCATGATCATACAAAGTGTCTATGCGTGCCACGTGAGGATCTGTTGGTGACATTGGACAGGTCAGTCCTGCTGCAGCGGCTTCCCCAACCCTGTGTACATTACCTCAGGCAGAGAGAAGCCCTTCATGAAGGATAGAAAGAACTTTCCTTGGAAAGAATAGGCTCCCTAATCACACTCCTTCCAGATGTTACCAGATTAACTGCAACTCCTATCAGAATGAAGGGTGGGCAGCTGTTCCCTGGTGGGTGATAGGGGACCCAGCACACCCCCACAGCAGAGCTCAGTCTGAGGGGGACATCTGCAAAGGGAAGGAGATGCCTTCCTTTCCCTGAGTAGAAGCACCTCCACTGTCCTCAAGTTATTTCATCAGCTCCAGGGCTCTCAGTCCACATCAAAGAACACTGGTAACTTCAGCTCAACCCTGCAGCAGCACTCGAAGCACCCATTCCCAGGGGGCAAGGAAGTTTGTTCACTTCTTCTGTGAAGCATATCCCAAAGCCCATTTTGTGGAACAGTTGTAAGGGAACCCAGTACATGAATGTATACATGAAAATGTGCCAGGAGTCCTCAGTGGAAATATCAAGGGCTCTCTTGACACTTATCGGTCCAGGTGCAAAATGGGTTGCTTGGGACAATGTCCTAATGAGACATTATCTTGTGACCAAGCTCTGCTTGATACTTTGTGCAGCTCCCTGCACTTAGCATTCCATAGAAGCTAAGGGGCTCTTCCTGCAGAGCTCACCGCCTTGAAAGTTGAGGGACCACCGTCAAAGTGATGTCAAAATGAGAGTAAATGAGTCATGAGTCTTTAGTTCATTCTGTGTGGTTTCTTAATAAACGAAGCTGCTGTTGAACTGTGAAGGAGGACAGAAACCACATGGACAACACACAGGGTACTTCTAGAAGGACAGGTCAAGTTCAACAGTAGGCAGGGCGAACAGGATCATTTTATTCTCATTTACGCTTAAAATAAAGATACAATAGAAGTTTTACAATTCAGTATGATTAGACGTGATTTATAATTTTAACAATTAAAAAAAAAACTAGTACAAACTTTAAAACTAGCAAAGAGAAAATACCTTTCTGATCAAAACACGTGCCACGGGCTAAACTTCCTTAGAAAACTTTTTAAGTTTTCTCAGCTAAATTTTCTTAGAAAAGGTTTGTGAAAAGCCTTTAATTGTAAATATTTAAACTATTTTTGTAACCACTAAATGCCTTCACCAACTCATTAATCCAATGTTTCCTAAATTCGGGAACCAGTGACCAAGGGGCCTGAAACATGTAAGCCTTGATCTTATTCTTCCAGCTACAAAATACTATTATTTTAAGAAAACAACAAAATATTTTCTAAGCACAGAAGCTTTCTGAAAACTTCAATTACCTTTTCTGGCTCAGTATCTGACTGAAATGTTCAAATGTTCATATTGCACACACGAAAAAATCTGAGCAGCATACTACATGGGTGTGAGAAGCTGATGAAAAATAAGATCGGGAAAACCCCCTACACTGTTCCATTTACATGATTTAAATATATAGTTTCTATATCTTTCATATAAGTAAAAAGGTAAACTTTAGAACAGCACAGAAATACAAATGTATTTAGTTTTACAAAATATATTCAACCCCTCAGACATGCACAATTTTTTAACTTTGGAGTTACCATATAAGGGAGCTAGTTTCCCCTCCTTCATAATGAAAGCAGGAAGTCATGTGTACAAAGTCATTCATATGAAAAGAATACACATCCACATTCCTTTGTCCTTGACAAATATTTATGGAATGCTGGAAATTATGGAAAAACAATTCCAATGTTACAAAGTCCAAAGAACTGGAATGAGAAAACTCCTCGCGGCACATTACGCTGCATGGAATGACAATCATCCTCAGGGAATTAGGGTAGCATCTTCTACCACTTTTAAAGGCTACCACGAGACGGGGTGGAAATGCCACGAATGGCACCTCATCTCTAATCAAAGATTCAGAGCATGCAAGTGTTGATGCCATTAAAAGTCCCAACCATCTCCCCACTAAAATACCAGGCAATGCTTAGCAGCTGCTGTCCTAACAGGCTACTTTCCGCAACTGCTGACACAGGTAAGTTCATGTGGTTAAAGGTCAGAACACTCACCCCTTCCAGAGCTGAAGTGCTCCAGCACTCATCACTGGCTCTGGAGGGAAAAGACCACTAGCTGTAACTTCTACAAAACGTTTATTCACAAAATATAAAACAATAACAAAACCTACCTACCAGGGCGATAATGCTATAGCGTGACTTTAAAACTTGTAACTAGCAGAGTAACATTCTAACTGCTTTCTAAAAGAATTCTTATAACCCTTAGCACATGAAATACTGCTCTCAAAATACTTTCATTCAGATTTTAAGCACCTTATTCCTCAGCCAGGCAACAATTTCTCACTTCTCTTCCGAATTTGCTTTCTCCTTGGCTTTCCAAAGGAAATTATTCTAAAAAACATCAGACGCTTCGTATACAATTTGGAAAGGAAGATAAGGTTGAGTAAGTCACATCATATGCTCAGGTTTGCTGCCAAAGTATATTGCTGCTGTGTTTCTTAACAGGAAAGTGGATGAGAATTGTTTTAGGGCTGTGCTTGGCCAGGGGGTAATCGCTAACGGATTTGGGAAGAGACTATTCATGCTGGTTATGTGAGCCAAATGCATATGCACAATCATTCTAAGCCGCCTTTGGACATGCAACTATTTCTGTTCCACAACTGGTAGCTTTAACTCTCTTCCTTACCTACACCATTGTCATTACAATATCTAGTAGGAATTGAAGTATACCAGGGACATTTTCCAAACTTTTAAGTCACCTGGATAGCAGTGAAGCCACCACCAAGACATTGATGTAGTGTGTGTGCCTGGCACATCTGAAAAAGGCTGGCTGACCCTGGTTCCCTCACACCTAGGTACAAATACTCAGTTCTTAGACACACAAGCCTTAGCAAGCACTGGGGCAAGTTTGGCCAACAACACACACACCTTTACCAGGGCTGTGTCAGAAGATGGCCTAGTGGTGGCTCCTATGGCTCACAGAGCCATAGGGTTTGGAGAGAGGCTGCTGCTTCTATGCTGGCCACTTGGAGCCTAGAATCCAAGCCTGAAGTATGTGGGGGGGGGGGGGGGGGGGGGGCGGTCACAGGACCAGGGGTGAGGCTTCCTGCCTTTGTGCGAACTGCCCTGGGGCTCCTGCCAATAATACAAGGGCCAGTGTTCCTTGAAAAACTCCACCTCCTAGAGCCTGAAGGAAATATAGCTATGGTCTTTTGACCACTTCTATGATGAAAGCTGTATTTTCTGAGATACTTGTTTTATGTTGAAAGTCAGTAAAGTGACCACTAAGAATCAAACTGTTAGCTAGAAATGTTAATAGAAAGTCCGATCAAAGTGTATATTCAAATGGGGAAAAAGTGGTATTAAAGAAAGTTAAACTTGATGTAACTATTTTTATTTCAGTGGATTCCAAAGCATGAGCTGGGCTGCTTTTGAAGGGTGAGAAATGGGAGTTGACCCCGATCATAGAAACCATACCAGCTGAAAGACAAATCAGCATCTCGCTGGATGACCCCTCACAGGGCTCCTAGATCCCTGAAGTGTGAACTTCAGCAGCTGAGAGGTAACAATTGCACACAAATCACACTATCATGCTCCAACGAATGATGTGGTCCTTGAGAAACAACAAGATGTTAGAATGAATTCAGTCTCAGCACAAAAAGATTAGAGTACTGTTTAAGGTTTTGTTTGGTATTACTTTCTTCTATTCAAACAGTATTTCCTGAGGTTAACTTTCTTGGAAGAAGTGGAATTAATGGAGTTCTCACATTCAGCCCTTCAGTTTATCATTGCTGAATTCTTGAGTTATGTTCAAATGGGTAATACAATTTGTGTTTAGAAAACACAAAGTGGAAAATTTAGAGAGATTTAGATTATGTTTCTATGTTCATTTCAAATGCCTTGGGAGCATTTACTTCTTAAACATTTCGTGAGGAATAAACCAAATATAATCAGTGCCCTCCTTTAACTCCCCAGCAATCTGGGATAGATCATACTCACAATGTATTTCCCAAGTATCCTTTGTTACTGAAAAGGCAGTCTTTTCCCCGTAAGTACTCTCTGAGAACACCCATCCCAGGTCTCCTTGAAAAGCAAATGAGAGCTGAGCATGGCAAACACACAAGGTCCAGCTGTGTACAGATCATCAGTAGATGGCACGCACATGCATGTATGTACCTAACATGAAACCAGATGTCCTTTCTCAGATGACAGATGTCAAGGCTGCAGTTTTCTTCTCTTGCCTCTTACTTTGATGAATATAAACTAAGATGAGATTTCTATTTAATACAGTCACCTTGCTTTTCTTTTAAAATACTCATAGAAGGGGGTAGGGATTGATTATAGGAGGGCTTTCAGTTAGGGAAGTAGAAGACTAAGTGCTTTGAAAAGCTTTATGAAGAATAAGACTACGAGAAAAGCTGTAGGTCTGCAAACACCCAATAGAAAACTGTTTAAAAAAGAAACAGGCCAGGCGCAGCGGCTCATGCCTGTAATCCCAGCACTTTGGGAGGCTGAGGCAGACAGATCACTTGAGGCCAGGAGATCAAGACCAGCCTGGCCAACATGGTGAAACCCCGTCTCTACTAAAAATATAAAAATTAGCTGGGCGTGGTGGTGCATGTCCATAATCCCAGCTACTTGGGAGGCTGAGGTACAAGAATTGCTTGAACCTGGGAGATGGAGGTTGCAGCGAGCCGAGATGGCGCCACTGCACTCCAGCCTGGGCAATATAGCGGGACCCTGTCCCCGCTACAAAAAAAGTGAAACAGATGGCACAAGCTCTGGATTAAAAAAAGTGCTTGTAAAAGACTGCAACATGACTGTGGTTGAAAAATAAACACATAGGTCTTTGAAAGTATTGCCCTACAGACACATTCATGTTAAACTGCTTCAGTGTCACTGAACCATCACTCTGCACTCCCACCTGCACGGTTATAAAGAGGAGGAAAGCACAGTGATACTCCTTGATGTCTGAAAGCAAGTTTTTAAGGATGTGGAAAGAACAAACTAAAAATATAAAACACCCAATCCTCAGAACTACTACCCCTGACTTTCATGTGTTTGGGAGGAAGTGAATTAATAAATGTTTTGTGGGTAGAAAGCAAAAAAAATCATCATAGAATTCAGCAAAATAATAAAGGCCCAACTGTATGACCCCTTCACTTTATAAGAACATTTTAAGGCCAACTTTAGAGAAAATGGTAATATAAATTAATTTTAGCAAGTATAAATTACAATGACCATCTAGATATTCAAACACCAAAACAGAACAAAATTTACATAAGTAAAAACTCTTCTAAAGTAAACCAATGTACAGTATCAGAACTCAAAATTCATTAGAAGGTTCACTGTATGTTTTAATCAGGCTCAGACTGAAATAAAAGTAGTCAATTGAAACCCCAACCTGGAAAGCCATCCCTGCTATGGCTGTGATTTCATCATTTCGGCATCCTGAAACATTCACTTAGAGCAACCGTCCATGTAAACAGTTCGACATACGGTCCCCTGCTGTGGATCTGTGGCTGATAACAGCCTGGGAGCAGCAGACAGACAGGGGACACTTAAACCTCAGAAAGCAATAGCAGCTTCTGACGCCCTGCTCAAGGCTTCCCATCCGGTGGCTCAGTGAGGCTTTGGGAGGTGGAAGTGGTGAAAGTGGAAAGCCACGAAGACATAGCTGTCTTTGCACTGGAAAAAGCTCCTCCAACTGACTGGCCTGGACGGAGAGGAGAAAAACAAAAGGAAAAATGTCTTAACTTTTGTTACAAGACAGTGAAAGACCAACATAATTAATACATTTTTAATTAAAAAATTTTTTGAAATGTTTTTTGAGACAGCGTCTTGCTCTGTCGCCCAGGCTGGAGTGCAGCGGAGTGGTCACGGCTCCCTGCGGCCTTGACATCTTGGGCTCAAGTGATCCTCCCACCTCAGCTTACCAAGTAGCTGGGACCACAGGCATGTGTGACCACACCTGGGTAATTTTTTGGTTTTTTGTAGAGACAAGGTCTCATGTTGCCCAGGCTAGTCTTAAACACTTGGCTCAAGTGATCCTCCTGCCTCAGCCTCCCAAAGTGTTGGGATCAGAGGGTGAGCCACTGTGCCCAGCCAATAAATGTTAATTCACTAGAACTACACCAATATGTTAATAGTAGCCAAAATATCATTTAAATTTTTAATTTCAAAACAATCCCTTTCCATGGGAAAGTCTTAAGGAAAAATAGATGATTTTTTAGCATAGGAGCCTACTTGCCTAAGCATTATGAAAGTATACTGTTTCTTTAATACCCTCAGTGCTGGCAACACTGGCTATGTATCAGAATTATTAGAGAGCTTAAAAAGTCAAACTGCTTTGTGTATCTTAAATACCAACTTGATAATCAATAACCACCTAAACAGGGAAGAGTGGTTAGGTTGTTTTAGGGAAATGTGCTTTTGTCATCTAAAATGAAGTTATGTTAAACAAAGATGTATAGAGCTCTGTCTGCCCCAGGTCTATTGTGTTTTATAGAACATTATCTCAAAAGTTGATGTTAGGCCAGGCATGGTGGCTCACACCTGTAATCCCAGCACTTTGGGAAGCCGAGACGGGCGGTTAGCTTGAGTACAGGAATTCGAGACAGACTGGGAAACATGGCGAAACCCTCTCTCTACAAAAAATAGAAAAACTAGCCAGGCATGATGGCACATGCCCGTAGTCCCAGCTACTTGGTAGGTTGAGGCAGGAGGATCCCGCCGGGGTTGCAGAGGTTGCAGTGAGCCAAGATCGCACTATATTGCACTTCAGCTTGGGCAACAGAGTGAGACCCTGTCTCAGAAAAAAAGGTGATGCTAAGTGAAATTATTTAAGTTGACTAATACATTCCCACTGTTCTTGGAGAGGAGAGTATAGAAGAGATTTGCCTTTAGAATTTAACTATCAGTAGCAGCATCACTAAAAATTAATAATGTATAATAATGTATCTATAATAATCTATAATATAGCATAATTTTTCTATTAAAAAATAAAAATTCAAAATAAGTCAAAGGCATATTGTTTGGAAATAAATGTTTGTGTGCTAAATTCCATTCCTTTGCAATAAAACTAACCTAGTGGTAGTGCTGTGTGTTCTGTGTTTGTCTTTACAAATGAGTCTGTAGAGTTTTCTGTCTCTCTCTAGGTATTCAGAAAACTGGGGATATAAGAACCCGTACACAAAGATTACCTAGTTCTGGGGCTTTTGAATTGTGTTCAGTAATGGTTAGTCAACCTCTTTCAGAAGCTAGGGAAGTAGTAATGCCCTATTTTTACAACACATTGTATGACAAAGCAGATGGGGCAAAATGTAAATAATTGGTGAATCAGAGATAACTAGGATTTTCTTGTACTGTTGCAATGTTCAAATTTGAAACTACATCAAAATAAAAGTTAAAAATATAGAAAAGGAATGAAAAATTTTAGAACTGATGTGGAACAATATTCAAAATATTTTAAGCAAAAAAAGCTAGGTGCAGAAGAACATGCTACCATTTGTCTGACTTTGATATTAATACTGGCCTCATCAAATGAGTTGGGGAGTATTACCTTAAAGATTTTGTGTAAAACTAGTATTATTTCTTCCTTAAACATTTGACAGAGTTCAAACTGAAGCCACCTGGGCAGCCTGGTTTAAATTAAAAACCTTATGGCATTTCATTTAAAGTCAACTAATTTCTTTCTGTTTTTAAGACCCTTGCTCTGTCACCCAGGCTGGAGCGCAGTGAGCCTTGACTTCCTGGGCTCAAACAATCCTCCCACTTCAGCCTTTTCAGTAGCTGGGACTACAGGCACACACCACCATGCCTACTGACTTTTCACATTTTTTTGTAGAGATGGGGTCTCACTATGTTGCCCAGGCTGGTCTTGAAGTCCTGGACTCAAGCAATCCTCCCACCTCAGCCTCCCAAAGTGCTGGGATTACAGGTATGAGCCACTGCATTCAGCCCAATTTCTTTAATAGATAATAGGGCTATTCATATTTTCTTTTTGCAACTGTTTCAGTAATGCGAATCTTTAAAAGAATTTGTATATTTCATTTATGTTGTTAAATTTGTTAGCATAAAGTTGTTCACAATATTCCCCTATTTTCTGTTCTTTTAATTTCTGTAAGAACTACACTAATGTCCCTCTTTCATCCCTAATGTTGGTAATTTGTATCTTCTTTCTTTTTATCTTTACCAGTCTGTAAAGATTTTATAAATATTGTTGACCTTTTCGAAAAACCAACTGTTGGCTTCATTTTCTTTATTGTGTAATACTACCTTAGAGGACAGTAGTTCCTAATGCCTACTTTTATTATGAGTCTCTGCCATTTATAAAGAACTGTGGACAGCACAGGGAATGGGGGAAGAAAACTCTGGTGAAGCTTGAATCTTGGTAACAAAACAGTGACTTCATCAGAAAATGCTGTCACTCTCTATTAGATGTAATGGAGTTTGACCTTTTGGAATTTGGAATTTTTCAAATGAATAAGACAAAAATTTTAAAAACTCTCGTATTACTATGTGATAACATACATCTTTACAACTTTATGTTTGTTTTATCAATTACATATTAAAGATAGAAAATGGATGTGTTGTGACTCCAATTTGTTCCTGGCTAAAGGCATGTCTTACCAACAGCTTTTCCTGTTTGCACAACATTCCGGCTAGTTGTGACCATGACATTTCCAATTTTTTTGCCACGTTCACTATTCTGAACAGAACTGGGTAAAAGATAAAAGAAGTGTTAAGTACAATTTTTAAAAAATCTCACACATGCATACAGACATATGTAGACACACACACAATAATCACTCTGTAACCATCCCAAATTAGAATTACTAAGAAGCTAAATTATTTGTTATGAATTTATTAACCTTTTAAGCATGTGCATTTTCAGAATACATGAGAAGAACATACAGATGAGCCAAAAAGTGGTGAGGACATAAGGATGTATGTATGGCTGGCTACATCTCTCTGACAGCCATGGTTTGCTAAAAGCACTTCACCAAAATAAAAATGGTAAATCCTATTACTAGTTCACACCATCCTCTATGGAAGAGTGGTGTTTTCACTTTGAAACATAACACACCGCTGAGCTAAAGAATGTTATGCACATATTTGGTTACTATTTGAAGCATAAGTCTATCAAGTAGAGAAAAACAATCCCCAAATAGCAATGAAACACATGGCATAAATTCAGAATTAAGAATTTTCCCAGTATTTTCTTTAAGTACTTACTGTGAGAATCTTAACTTCATGTCTGATACTGAGTATTGGCCCTGAAATGGATGGCTGTAAAAAAAAAAAAAAAAAAGTTTGCGTTTAAACTATCAGTATTTACCAAGAAGGCTGCAAAAAAGAGTTATCACAAGAAAATATTAGTAAACTTCTCATGGACGACACAGCTGGGTGGCAGTGCTGAATTTGGTATCAGGAAACTTGGCTTTG